AAGAAGGGCCACCACAGTACATGCCACCATACCAGCCACAACAGATGTCATACCTTCCTGCGCCGACTTATCAGCCGCCTCAGTATACACAGTTCCGGCCTCAAGCGTCGAGACCGGCACAATCGCCTCCACCACAACAGTATAGGCCTCCGGCTCAGCGGCCTAATGTTGGTGACAGAGGAAAGGGAAAAGTACAGGGACAAGCTTATACCCTGGCAGGAGGCAGTTTGGGAGGTCAGACCAGCAACGCGGTGGTTGAGGGTATGATTCTAATCTCTCATTCTTTTGCTCACGTGTTGTTTGATACAGGTGCCACACACTCGTCTATATTGAGTTCTTTTGTTCAGACTTTGAAACTGAAGAGTGAGAATTTAGAAGTCCCGATGACTTTGAACTCCCCACTGGGATGTGTGGAGGTGATGAGTGTGTGCAAATCGTGTGAAATCACGATTGGTAGTGAGCGATTGAGAGCAGATTTGATTATCCTTCTGAGGAACCTGTTTGATGTGGTACTCGGAACGGATTGGCTGTCGAGGCACGGTGCAATTATTGATTGCTACCGTAGGAAAGTGACCTTGGTGACGGATTCCGGAGCAGTAATTTCTTATCAGGCAGAGATGACCCCAGTCCTTAGGGAACGACTGTTGAAGTACAGCATTGGGGGACGAAAGAATCTAGCCTGTTTCTCTTCCCTTCTTGCCTTAAGAGGTGAACTAGAAGTAATTGGAGATAGTGTGAGAATCCCTGTAGTGGATGAGTTTACAGATGTATTTCCTTATGAGCTACCTGGTTTACCGCCAGATCAGGAGATTGAATTCTGTATTGACTTGGTCCCGGGAACGGCACCTATTTCCATCCCTCCATACCGGATGGCTCCGGCGGAGATGAAAGAATTAAGAACGCAACTTGAGGAGTTGGCAGGAAAAGGATATATCTAGAATAGTACTTCTCCTTGGGGTGCACCGGTGCTATTTGTGAAAAAGCACGACGGATCTCTATGGTTATGCATTGACTACCGTCAATTGAACAGGGTAACTGTGAAGAATAAATACCCATTGCCGAGGATCGATGAGTTATTCGATCAGTTGGGTGGATCACAGTTTTACTCTAAGATTGACTTGAGGTCCAGGTACCACTAATTGAAAATCAGGGAAGAGGATATTCCGAAGACTGCTTTTCAGACTCGATATGGACACTTCGAGTTCCTGGTGATGTCATTTGGGTTGACAAATGCCCCTGCTGCATTCATGGATTTGATGAACCGTGTTTTTCGGCCGTACTTGGATCGGTTCGTCATTGTGTTCATTGATGAGATCTTGGTGTATTCGAAGGCTTGGGAAGAACATGAACAGCATTTGAGGATTGTTCTTCAGACTCTTCGTGAACACCAGTTGTATGCGAAGAAGGAGAAGTGTGACTTCTGGCTGACAGAGGTGAAGTTCCTTGGCCATGTAATTTTAGGACAAGGAATTTCTGTGGACCCATCCAAGATTGAGACTGTGTTACAGTGGGAAAGGCCGAAGAATGTGGCAGAGATTCGAAGCTTTCTTGGACTCGCAGGGTATTACCGGCGTTTTGTAAAGGATTTCTCGAGTATCACTGCACCGATGACTCGGTTAACCGAGAAAGAAGTCAGATTCGAGTGGGATGCTGAATGTGAACATACCTTTCAGGAATTGAAGGTAAGGTTGACAAGTGCACCGATTCTGACAATTCCTAATACCGAGGAGCCATACGAGGTGTACTCTGACGCCTCGGGGGTTGGGCTTGGTTGTGTCTTGATGCAAGGCAGACACGTAGTAGCTTACGCATCTCGCCAACTGAGACCACATGAGCGGAACTACCCCATGCATGACTTGGAGTTAGCAACGGTAATATTTGCTCTGAAGATATGGAGATGTTATCTCTACGGAGCAAGGTTTCAGGTCTTCTCTGATCATAAGAGCCTGAAGTACTTGTTTACTCAGAAAGATCTGAACCTCAGACAGAGGAGATGGGTAGAGTACATGGAAGATTATGACTTCACTCTGCAGTATCATCCTGGAAAAGCTAATGTGGTGGCTGATGCCCTTAGCAGGAA